ATTAAAAAGAAATATAAAAAAAACATTACGTATTCCGTATGGTGAATTGAAGCATTCGGGAAGGGCGACAACGTCAGCGTTCTGCTTTTTCGCATTTGAAATGAACGAAACTGCTCGCTCTATATTTGTAACTTTAGCTTCGTTTACTTTGAGTTGCACTAATGCTAAACGTAATGCTGAAAATAACGTTTCAAAAATTAAATGTATCATATTATATATGTTTTATACTTTATCCATGACATTGCTTAAAAAGTAAGTGAACTCACTCGACATTGTTCTCACTATTACTTGCCAACCGATATTCAATACCATAATTTCTTTCGAGGTTATGTGCACTGCTTCACACAATTGCAAATATTTTTGCATTTCTAATTTTACAGTTAAGGATAAGGAAAACAATGCTTTTGTAAAAATACATTTTATTACAAAAATGTGTATAAACAAAATTGTACAGTTCGTCATGAAAATAAAATGACTGATTATGTTCCGGAAAAGTGTTACCGCCTGCTGGATGATCGGGATCTTGATCTCTTATGTTTCTTGTGTTTTCGCCTGTCCGTGTGATCTCTTGATTTCTTGTCCCTAGTTTTTTCTTTTTCCTTATTCTTTTTCTTATGCTTTTTACTCGACCTTTCTGGCGAATAAGCATGTTTCTTGTGTTTCTTCGATTTTTTAGACTTTTTCGATCTGCAAGATTCGCTGCTAGTAGAACTACTTCTTCCTCTTCTTTTTTTCTTCCCATTATCACTGTCACTATTGCTGTCAGAATCTGAGTGTCTCTTTCGACTTTTCGATTTCTTATCATCTTCTTTATCATGCTTGTTTTTATCATGTGAGACAATCTTCTCTTTCTTTTCTTCGATATTGCTTTTATCATCTTCAGAATTTTCAGAATGTTCAGAAGATGATTTTTTCTTCTTACTTTCCTTCTGCTTGAGCTCCTTGGATTCCTTGTCCTTGTATTCTTCATACTTTTTTGCATCTAAAATTAACCTCATAAAATACTAAAGGCTAAAACCTCTATATTTATCATAACTCTGATAAAAATTGGAGACCTTTAAAAAATAATGTGTAAAAAATACATACGTAAAAATACATAAGTTTTTGAATTTCTGATTCTGTATATATATACGTTCAAATTTATTATTCATTTTTAAAAGTCCCTTAATGAAAAACTAATTATTCATACTAACTTAGGACTTTTGAATTTTTTGAATATTCAGACTTAGTAACTGGTTGTATCATGAATTCATTTACAGATATTGCATTTCCTCCAAGAGCCAGTTTTATTATAAGTCTTCCTGCATCATCATCAAAACCCTCTATTTGACCATAACTATTGCTTTGTTTTCCGGCTATGATTTTTACAAACGTTCCCTTCTCAATTTTCAGTTCTTCTTCTTGTTTCTTTGAATCTGTATTTTGCTTTTGTAGTGTTACTTTGTCCGCTCCGAGACCCATGCCTTTTGGTCGTAATTCTGGCAGAACAGCTGAGACCATTCTGTGACAAATATTATACAAAATTATTTAATGCAAGAAAATATTCGTATTAAATATACAGCATCTATTTCATGTAAAATAAAACTCTTACTTTTCATTTTTACCAATCCCTTTCCCTGGTTGCCATCCCATCCCCCGTAACATTGCTACTCCAAAAGCATCAACAGGAATCTTTTCATAATCTTCTAACGTAGACTAAAGAAAAAGTAAAATAATATTTATTTACAACATGCAAATAATATAATACATCTGTATAATAACAATGTACCTGTTCTTTGCCTCTTAATGCTTGATCTTCAACTAAAGGTAAAGTCAGGTCCTTAGTTTCAGTTTCCTGTTTGTCTTTTGACTTAAGGTCTTCAATGATTTCGTTAGCTGCCTGTTCTTCCAAAGTCACAATTTTATTTTCAATATTCTCTACCGGTTCTAGTTTTATTTTCTGTGTTTCTGGTAATGAATTTCCATTAGACAATGTTGGCTTTTCTTCCTGATCATCGCTAGTTTCTTCTGTTTTTTCTTTATTTGTCTTAGATTCAAAGATATCAGCATCAATTTTGTTAACAATTCTATCATGCCAAGTCTTTGAACCAAGCAGTGGAATAACTAGAGGTTCATCTTTCTTTTCTTCCTCACTGAAATATAAAATCAGCGTTGAAAAAATGAAAAGGGTTGGCAAAGTTTGAGGTTAGGTTAAGGTTACGCATTCATAATAAAAACTATCTTTTTTTTACATACCCTATTACTTTAATTCCCTTCTCATCAAGACACTCGATATAGTCTACTTTCTTCTCTTCTTGTGGCACAGGATTTTTTAACACAGGTTTTTTAATAGACTTCGCGAAGCCGAAGGAAATCTTTTTTCCCTCCTCTGCCATTTTTTTATTATTGCGAGAGTGACTAACGGATTAGTATATGTAGAGTATAAATAGCAATTTGCTTAAACTATTTACATTAATTTAACACCATGTTTCATTAATGGACTTAATATAACTTACGAGTTAGTAAAACATTGTAACAGTAGCAGCTCAAACGTCTACGATAAAGCGACGTCACTAACCTATACGTATAGTAGCACGTACTATTTTCATTCGAATTGAAGGATCGATATTACGCGTTTACATGAAAAAAGAATAAGACGCGTATAGGTTAGGTTCTGTTATGGCGAATTTCCAATATATACGGTGTATATTCTAATTAATTTAAATATGTTTCGAATTAAAGGAAAATATTGTGCTTATAGGTGACTCTGAACAACTTTTTCCTTTACCAAAATGTTGTTTGAAGCTTCATTTTTGAATTATTAACGAAAACCACTGGCCAATCAGAGCGCGCGCGGAGAACAGAGATTCACCCGCATGAACGACGCATACGAGTGACTTCTCGGTTATCGATCGCTGTCAAAAAAATTTGACTTTGCACCGCTATTTTTATAAGACTTAGAGAAATGGGTTTTTCCCGTCATTCCGACATTTGTATAAATTTTTGAAAAAACTGCAAATAGTCGGAATCGTGAAGAAAACAGCGAAGGTCGTTTTTAACGCGTACGCATTTGTTCGATCGCGCGCGGGTGAGCCTCTGTTCTTCGTCTCTGAGCGCGAGCTTTGCGCGCGCTCTGATTGGCCAATGTTTTTCGTTAATAATTCAAAAATGAAGCTTTAAACAACATTTTGGTAAAGGAAAAAGTTGTTCAGAATCACCCCAACAACCCCCCATTTCCGGGTGTTCGAGGAGTTACGGGACACCCTGTATAATTTATTTTTGAATCAAATGCTGATTTAATTATATCAAATACATTGCAATGTTTAATTCAATTTTGATAACCGTGATATATAATTTTTTAATTTTATATTAAAGTTCATCACATAATGTCATTTTATAATGTGTTTGACAGATTTTTATTTCTTAGCAATCTTTGCACGATCTTTTACTACACGCGTTAGAATTTACCCTAGTTTATGCACCGCAGCGCATGACAGCGCTATTATGTATTATGCTGTTTACAATTTATTCAGAACCATTCTATTTTCAGCCTGCACTCTCTATTCCGCTTTTTTTGTACGCTGCAAATTAATGCATAGAGATGCAGAGTGAAAACGATTGCTCATCCAAGGTGATTGCGTACACTGTTCCTTTCATAAAGGTGGTGAACCCTAAATGAAATTATAGGTATCAGTAGTTATAACTAAAATTAACTTGATCAAATTAATTTTCTTACACAAAGTAAACTTTTTTCGATATTAATAAAGCTATGTATTTATATTTTATTACATCTACCCAATTCCTGTATCAATGTCCCTTTTAATACATATTATACCTTAACATGGATATTAATATTAATATAATTCTTAGATAAAAAAGAATAAAAGTGATAATGCTTGGTGACTCTAGTGTAGGAATAAATAATAAATAATAAATTTGAATTAATTCATTATCATAATCCTTAATTTCTTAATTATTTTATACAAGTATATTTGAAGAAGTTGAATATACCATTTTTATGACATTTCTTAGAAATCCCAGAACTCTGAGAACTGTGTTTTTTCTCCATCAACGATCAGGCGTGGCAATGCATTTCTGTACCGGTACCGATAAACTTCGTTAAACGATTTCTCTCGATCCTGTTGGCGCTGTAAGCGCAGAGGAAGGCATTTACCTATCTTTCGGTACAAGAATTACAGTTAAAAACGGCGACCAATTGAGAGCGGCAGTTGAGCCCGCGAGCAGAGAGGGGTGAGCGTGTTTTAGCGGCGACAACAGCACACGGTATGCAGATACGAAGCTGGAGTAAACCGGGAAGCCGTAGTTTGCGGACCGTAGTAATCGTGGTAACTCCGGGCAGTCAACGACATTCGGAAGCCGGCCACGCTCTGGAATCCAGGTAAATCTTTCCCTTCAGTTTTAACTTTTGATTTTATTTTTTTTTTTACAGACTTCCGTACAGTTATGAATTTTAGTATACAATGTTAAGAAATTGATCGTACTATGTCACCGATGAATTACTTTTTCGATAAATTTTATTCACCTTTTTAAAATAAAATAAAGAAAATTTTACATTTTAATATAAAACTGTAAACAATTGTATTTTTTCGTCAAGTTTGAATTAATGTATTATTGATAATGTAAATTTTATTTTATTCTACACAAAGTAAAATTTATTGGTTTATGCTATTTAACACGTTCATTGTATATTCTGAAATTCGTCGCGATGTATATTCGAAGATTTAATTTAAAGATGCTGAGTCTTTTAACTGTATATACATGTATAACACAGTATACCGTAATGGTTGTTTTTATGTGAGGAAATGATAAATAATACAATTTTCAAGATCTAGCAATTAAATCATTATTTAATATATCATGAAAGAATAAGATTCAAATCTAATAATAATTGATAATACTTACATATAATGTAATTCTATAACAACAGCTAATAATAATAATTAGAATAACATTATTTTATAACCGTCCTAGAATGATTACAATTTATACTTCAACATATCCCACTGCAATATTTCATAACACCCATTCTTTAATTTCGATAACTTCGTCAAATGAAATTGTTAATGAACATTATTCTTAATTTATCACCAAAACTGATTAAATCAATTCAATTTTTATACTTAAAATACTCTTTCGAAATATCAAATTCATCTTATTCATCCCAATGAAAAAAACATAACCTCTAATATACACCATACATTAATCGCCCAAACACACGTATTCCCTTATCCAACCAACAAATCATCAAAGTTCCAACATTCTCGTCCCACTTCAAACTCTTTCTTCTCGTTCATTCATCGTCCAGTTTTTTGCGTCGAAATTCCACCGCGAGACACTAGTAATTAGGAGAGACCCGAAACGTGAAGGTTAACTGTAAAACAGCAAGCATAACTGTGCGGAGCCGATGTTATAACGGAGGAGAGATCTTCCTGTTGAAGATTTGTTCCGCTATGCTGAGACGTCCAAACCTTTTCGCTTCCTTGTCGCGCGTTTTCTTTATCGCCTGGTATACACAATGTAAGCATGCGCGCGGGAGCCGGACAAAAACCAGTTGTGCCTCGTATGTAACGTTCCGTTCGACACGGTCCACGGATTCGTAAGTCGATTTTGCGCGATTAATACGGGAAGATAAGCCGATTTCACGGTGGGCTTATCGCCCGACGAAAGAGTCCGGTTTCACGGTGATCGAAGGGTGAGTTTTCATGTTCATCGTTCCAGTGATTTATTTTTGCCAGTGGCTTTTAATTTGGGAACGACGGTGATGTGAAATTAGCATTTTCCGTATTGGTATTTCAATATTAGTATTTTTTAGTATTTTAACTCCTTAACCTTCACATTTTTCTCAACTTAATGTGCCAAATAAAATCAACTTTTTTCAAATTAATTCCTAGGCGTATAAAAATAAGTTTCCCTTTATTATTTATAATAGTGTAACTTACTTTTTTGCCATAATAGAAAGAATAATGAAATATTAGTTGTTACGTGCGAGACACGGGCATAAGTGTCAAGGGGTTAATTAAAGTTTTTAGTAATTTTCAATATTATGCTGTTTTCATATTTCGGTACTCATATATTTTTTAAATACTGGTCTTTTCAAAAAACCTTTTTACGTCGTAATCCTATTTTCTATTTTTCCATTTTCGTACTTTGTTGAGCAGAAAGAGTAACAAAGTAAACGAACTAACATAACCTATAATAAAACAACGTGAAATTAAATAAAGGTGTAAAAAAAATGAGAACATTTTCTAACAATTTAATCCAACAATAAAAGTATTATACTTATTCAAACAATAATAGAAAATTTTTGACAATGTCTATTGTCATCGAATACATATTTCGCAAGCGGAATCATTCGCCATATTAGTGCATTGAACTCAGCGCGTGCGCGCGCATCGACGATTCAGATTCTGGTTCGATTTGGCGGGAGGATGTTATGGTAAATGTAGTCGAGTGAACAATCAAGCGACCGGATCTATGTGTTGCCCGGAACTCGGCGCATAATGCCGCGGAAACGGCTGGGAAATTATATTTGTTATGGGGAATCGGCGGCGCGGCCGAGGACACGATTTCATCTGATCGCGCGTATCCTACCGGACGGAACGGTCATTAAATGTCTGCCGCCGGTTTGGTGAAAGCTCTAACTCTGACATTCACGGTTAATTTATGCGAATCATCATAGCTACGCATTATTATCGTTCCTTTTTTCTTGTTCAGGCAGATTGAATTAGCTTTGTGAACATATACTTGCTATATTTAGAAGTTTATGTTTCACAACACTTTTTTAAGATTTTACAGATTTAAATAGTCATTTTTTTCCCTTGAACTTAGTATCTTTTCGAAAGTTTAATGCATTAGGTTAGGTCAGGTTAGGTTAAGTTATGTTAGGGTATGTTTACTTTCTTTTTTTTTGTACCTATCTTACTTTTTTCATTCCAGATAACCAAAGATGCGGCTGCTTCTGCTTAAAATATCCCGCATACTCCTCCTCCTGCCAGAAATCAGCGCAGCTGGAGTAGGCAAAGCCTGGCAGGTTCTCCCATATGCCACCGATTACTGGAATCATCCATCATGGCCGCGTCTCGACTCTTCCGCTTTCGAAGTTCGTAGTGTAAGCGGTGTAGGCCATCTAACCCCCCTCGAAACTACTCAAAGAAACCTAAACCTTAACCAACCACAGCCTGTTGAACCAAACGCTGTTCCCTCGACTAAACACTTTGCATTCAGCCAAAAATTCGAACCCATTTACGCAAATTCCTTCTACGACCATGATGAGAACCACGACGAGACAAATGAAGCAGAAGTCGGGGACAAAATATTCAGAACAGGTCTCATGATGACAATTCTCAAACCAGAATACAACAAAGGCTCCATCAATGAAGAAATCGCAGACGAAGAGAAAGAAGGTATGTCAAGGATTCGTCGTGACACAGAAAATGAGACAAAACTGGAACAAATAGCCACTGCAAAAAATGTCAGAGAAGTACGTTTAAATTCTCCAGAGACTTGGTCCACTCAACCACTGTCCATAGAATATCCTCATAGGAGTGGTTTAGATCAGATGATCCAACAAACAGTGGAGGATGAAGATCTACCAAATGCAAGAAGTTATCAAGCTCCAAGAGCAGGTTTTGTAACAAGTCACCACAGAAGAAGTTATGAACATAGAGAAGCTAGAGACATGCCAGTGACTAGAGGCTATGATGAATATGACTTTCCATGGTACAGAAACGCTATAAGGGACAGAGACTATGATCCTGTCGCCTACCGTCGCGGATTCAGTTACTATTATCCTGACAGATACAGAATGGAAAGAGACTACTATATGCGTGTACCCAATGATTATTCTTATTATTATGACAGATTTAGGGATGAGGATTTGGATCTTTATGGTAGAAGCAGAGCTACACCTAAGAGTAAGAGAATTATATATTATGCTACACTACCAGAAGTAGTTAGAAAGCCTGTGGACTTGAGGAATTATCCTAGATCCTATGATGGGACTAGATCACCTGTTTCTAGGGATGGAACTTTTAAACGTATACCAGGGAATGTTGATCCTAGCAGATACAGGTATAGACACTTGTATGATGGTTATGATTCTTACTCTAAGAGGTCCAGTTTTTCGGATAGACCTTATCCATACCCTGAAGATGAGAGTAGACGTAAGGTAACACTGGACAGTCTCAGGAATAATGATCATTTTGATCAGAACAATGACAGGAAACTGGCTAATCAGATTTCTGTGAGGAATCAGGGAAATCTACCATGGCCAGTGCAGATTGGAACAGAAGTGAGTGTGAAAGATGATGAAAAGATCCCTGGGAGAAAAATCTTTGGAGAGAATAATGGCTATGAGAGATTTCAGAGTGCTCAGCTTCAGAAAGCACCAGATGCTACTGGTTCCAGTGAACTGCAGAGCGATAATTGAATAATGAATGGATTTCCAAATTTTTCTTTAGAATTGGTTATGGATTTTGAAGAAGAGTTTTGACTACTGTTTGCTTTGATATAACATGGTCTTTTTTTGCTGAATTTGTTTGGAAAATATTTGGATTTATTTCATTACTTCTGTACACCGATGGTGACTATTGTTGAACATGAATGATATTAAATTTGGAAAGATGTTTTTACTTAATGGTTCTAAGTTATGAATGTTTTTTCAAGCACTATTGCAATGGAATGTATTGTGATCTATGTTACTATTCCTACTTATTTATCTGTATTTATGAAATCACCAATTGTGGTGGTTACTTTAGTACTTACTGCTATAATAGTATTTTTAATACAGAACTCTTTCAAAGAAACTTTTGTATTAGTTTCCTGTTGCTAGACATAAATTTGAAACCTAACCTATTAACTGAGGGAGACAATTAACTTGTCATTTGAAATATTTAAAATGTAATAATTTATTAATTAATAATCAATAAAATAACTGGTTAAAATTTTTCTTTTCCAATTTCTGATTGAGAAATGAGGTCAGTTAACACGTTATGTTCAATTATGATCTACAGTAGAGAACCAAAGAAAGTATCACGAGGGTTGGTGACGGTTTTCGTTCACTTTTATACTACTTCGATATACACTGAACTTTTAGAAAAGGAGAATTGTATTTATTTCTAAATTATACCGAAAACAATATTGTATTGTACATTTTGTTTATTAATATACAGTGAAAAGATTTTGAAAAGAATTTATGGGTCCCTTCTTTATTGAATCCTCCATTATATTTTCACTTTTTTCATTGTCTTTTTCAGTAAAAACATCGATAGATTTTCAGAAAAGTAACTTGTTGCAATTATGCGATTTAATTCCACTAACCAAGGATTAGTCTACAAAATTTGGTCAGATTAGGTTATGTTAGGTTGATAAAATAACAGATTAATCGTTAGTAAAAAAAATTACAGAATTTGAAGCTTTTCCATTGATAAAGCCGGTCAATTCATCTGGCGTCATATTTAAAATATTACATGCAGTTTCATGAGCCTCCTTTTCACTTGCATCACTTTCATATGAACTTCTTGGCGTTTTGTGGTTTCTATGATGTTCATAGAGCTTCTTTAAGAATTCCTGATTTAACAAAACATTTCTAGTGATTAAAATAATTTTAGTGTTTATCTTTTAAATAACATTTGTAATATTCTAAATGTTTTATAACCTACAAAATTTATATTTAAAATTATACGAAATTTTTTAAATTTAATTCTGCATAATTCTGGTTCAACTATTTGATTTATCAATTATATCGTAGGTATTTTTAATTTCAATTTTATATCATTGTTTTGTACCTTGATGGCTTTTGAGTATTCGTTGTTCTGATTTTTAGTGAACGCCATTTTGGTGTTCATGGACTTAATAGTTTCCTCATATTTAGACCTGATAGTTTCAACTTCATATTGTACAGTTTCCTCACATTTTTTATCACACTTTGTTTCCATCTAACGATAACAGATGAAATAAATTTTTAACATATTTTCTTAAATATATAGTCTTACTTTTTGGGTTATGTTTGTCTTTGATTTTTCATTATCAGTTAGTAATTTATCCTTTTCAAAGTTCAAAACCGAGATCTGTTAAAAACGATTCATCAATAATAGAAAATACTCAAAAAATACATGTTACACTTTTTAATTTTCACTCAAAATACACACTTTTCCTTTCAATTGTGAATTGCTATTTCTAACAGCGCTAATTTGATTTTCTAAACCGGTCAACCTGGACATCAGCTGTGTCTTTTCTTTATTTAGGTCTGCCAGTTGACTCTTGTAACTGTTTAGTAAAAATCCCTTGTTCGCATTTGCTGATTCCGAACGCACCAATCTAAATTATTAATTCTTTATTAATGAAATAATACAAGAAGTGTGACGCAGTTAAAACAAACTACAATTTTTATTTCATCGAAGACAAAATAAACGATAAAAGAAAACTGAAAATCGTACAAAAATTCATTCTCCAAAAATGGAGATTTTTCAGGAAAAAAATTTCTCCAAAAATCGAAAAATCGATTCTTTGTTTTTTTTTTTTTTTTGTAGTTTCAAAATAAAGTACAGCTGCCCTAAATTTCCTTATAGGATCTATACACTAATGGCAGAATTTTTACACCGTGACATTCTCATTTTCAACGAAATGAAAATTTTGTTTCTAATACTTGTTTCTAAGTTGAGCAATCGTCGCAGAATCTTCCTCAACTTTTTTCTTCAAGCTCGTCAATTCCCTGTTCTTGTGCATATCTCGAAAATGAGCTGTATGTCGTTCTTTCCCCACAGTGTGCTGCAACCAGTCTCGCGTATCCTCCATCTTTTTCCTCAGCGAAAGATTCTCGGCGATCAGATTGTTCAAATTCGTCTCTGTGACCTCCATTTCTTGCTTCAGCTGGCCGAAGCATTTGCTGATCGATTCGTACTCCTCTGATTTATTTTTCACCGTTTTCCGCGCCGCCGCCAATTCTCGTTTCAATTTCGTCGATTTCGCCACTGCCATCCGCAGCTGACATAAGTGAAACGCGTGAAACGTACGCTATTACTTTTGCCATTTCGATAAAAGAATTCCTATTGATTCTACGGTGTTTTTTTTCTCGTTTATTTATTATATATAAATTCTTCTGTATTTTCATTTGATATATGTACGATATTTTTCTCTGTTGAAAACTGAAGAGAAATTTTGGATAATTGTAATGTAAGATTGAATTGGGAATAATGGAAATGTAACGGGCATATAATGGAAATACTATGGCATATAGCACTTTTCCTGGTTCTGGGGCAAAATTATCATTCTCACTTCGAGTGTCAAGGGCCAAACTAAATGAATTTTGGCATGTCTACGTACGAATATAATATGTATACTCTGTCCAATTTAAGAATAACCTCGCTTCGCTGGGACGTGCCTAAGGCAGGGCTAGAACATAACCAGAGTGTAGAAAATAATAAAGCGAAACACGATAGTTATTAATACCTAAAGGGTTGAATTTAATTTAAAAGTTCGCGGTGACGGATTGCGGGCAAAATTAAAAGAAGTCACGGGCAATATTCTGCCCGCGGGGCGGATTGAGGGCAGTCGCGGGCAGTATCCTGCCCACAGGGCCACCAGTTGCCCACGCATGTTACAAAGTATGCTGTGGAAACTGGAAAAAATACAATTTTGTATCTTGTGCTTTTTAAGCATTAGAATGTGTTGAAATTTGGAATAAATAATTTTCCAGGGAAATTCTGACATTTCAAGAGTACTTTAAATGACTTCCGTTGAAATTTTGTTGGACAATCTGTAATTCGTTTTACTGTTCATACTTTTGTATGCAATTTAGTCGAAATCCTTTCGTGGCATTTTAATCTTCTGCGATATTTTATTTGATAACAAATGTTCCCTCTTCGATCCAACGATCTGGGGCCAAAATTTTCCAAAACAGATGTACAAATTCGTACAATTTTTTCTTGTAACACCTCGTTTTCTTCACGAGCTTCGGTTTTTGCATTTTCCAGGTATCTAAAGTAGATGTAATATGTATTTTAAATTGGAGAACAATTGTCCAAGACAATTGTGTAATATTACCTTTTATATTTTTCTTTTACGTTTAATTTTGCTGTTATAGCTTCTTCAAGCTCCTGTCTGGTTTGAGCAAGTTTCGCTTCGAGATTTGATATCATCGTTTCGTATCTAATCGAACGATAACTATTAAAATTAAAATATTAGATTTGTATCGAAAATTTTAAAGTTCCAAAATTTGGAAATTTCGTAGTTTTGGATTTTCAAAAATTTAGAGTGCCAAAGTTGGAAAATTGTGGAGTTCTAGATTTTCACAATTCTAAATTTCCAGAGTCCCAGAATTCTACAATTTCAAAATTTTAAACTCCGAGAGTTCCACAGTTTCGAACATCTTAAGTTCTAATCTTCCAGAGCTCCAAAGTTCTCCGATACAAAGATTTTATCCTTAAAAATCTTCCGCCATTTTCCAACCCCAAAACAAATATTCCAATTTCCAAAATAACATCGTAAAATTTGTCTTCATTTCGTGAATAATTTCCATCAGCAGAACGTCATCCTCGTTATTTTTCGAAAAATTCAATTTCAAAAGAAAGAACCCCAAAACGGTCGATACGTAGCGGGAGACGCGTTACGATTACGGGTGTGTCGGAATTTTATCGGATAGTTTTATAAATTCCATTTTATCATTGAAAGCTTTTCTCCGTCGAGAGCTCGCGATATTTCATTTATCCACGGGGGGCTACATTAATTTTCGCATATTTTCGCACCATCGAATTTTCCACGCGAATTTCTTTCGGTTGGTGAAACAAATCGTCGGACTTTTTCGATTAAAAACGGCCACACGTATCTATTATACACGTGTTCGCTTCGTAAACTCACTCGATCTCCTTCCTCGACGTTATTTCACCCTTTGTCCGTTGCTCGCTGCGCTGATTCCATTCCACGTAGATTTTCGTTTCAAGAGAACGGAAAAGTAGAATTTACATTATAATCATATCGTATTGTTTCGTCGAAAAATTGTCATTTTCTTTTTTTAAGGAAAATTTTAAGCGTAGTATAATTATACAATAATATATTTAATGAAGTTATATATAGTAGGGGTGAATTATTCTTCGAGAAAGATTATTTCATTCTATTTTGTTTTTGTAAGCCTAAAATAACGATATTAATTGACATTTGAAGTAATGAAATGAAATTTAAATAGTACAGTGTAACAGATTTTCGAATGTTGTGAGAAAAAATTGTAAACCATCCTAAGAACAGGTTAGGTAGCTTGCATCTGGATAGACAGTTGAAAGGCTTGAAAAAGTAATAAATGTAAAAAATCAAATTATAAATTTTAACGCTAAAATTCTTGAAATTCAACAACACATGAATGGAAAGTTTTGACGAATCGGTGAAATTTTCGTTCGAGAATTTTGCAATATTGTAATACACATACATACTCTTTGCATACCTCGGCCTCTCTGTTGAGAGCTTCCTCGATCAGCCACTGAGGGGCAGGATCGTTGTTCGTACACCAAAATGCGGATGATTTTTTATCTTCCAATTGAATACACGACGAAGTGAAACGATTCACGTCAGTTGCTATCCCCTTATCTTGGAGATTTTTCTCATTTAACTGAATCGCTTGCAGAGATGTTTGGGTACAAATTGTCTTTGCTTGAATATCTATCTTTTTATCTGAATAATGATTTTTATTGGGTGTATTAATGGTTACCATTTTAAGATAATAATAATAATTACAGTGATACATTAATTTTACGTGAAAGTTAAAGGTGTAGAAAAATTAGTATGATAATTATATAGTAAATTAAATGAATTTTTTAAAGCTAATTTTCAGTTATATTTGATAGTTTTCATAGTGTTATCAGAGGAGCATTTCGCGTGAAAGTGATCCGTACGCTGCTTCCCCCTGGTGTAGCTTTCTGTTAGTGTTTCAAGTACCTGTTTTCTGTATCGGTAAAGTAGCGCGAAACAAAAAAAAAAGATTGTAATCATACAAAAATTGTAAATATTCTAAGGAAATACAATGCAGTATCTACACTGAAATTAAAAACATTATGTATGACAGAATATTAATAAAAAATATGTGATATGAGAAATATAAATATTAAAAATGTAAATAATGTTTATTTTTTTAATATAAGCAGTAACTAGAACATTACGCATTGTAGTACTAAAATTTTGAACTCTATAGTTTAAGAATTCCAAAATTCTAAAATTTTAGAGTTCTAGTAAAGTGTCAAAGATTATGGTTAATACTTTCGAACTTCAGAACATTAGAATTCCATACAAAGGTTAGGTTAGGTACTATAGAACATACTATACTATAGAACAAAAAAAAAGTAAATTTATTACTTCGCATTTCTCAGATACCTTTATCATTATACAGATTATCATAAACATTCTAAAAACTATAACTTCAAATTTTCACAAGTATCCGAAGATGCTCCAGTTTAACGAGTTTATCTCGTTTACATTCACCAAGCAAAGCTTCCACTCCCTCAACCTGATGGAAGTATGTAATTGAAAATTAGAATCGAAGCGTGTCCGTGAAGGAGAGGAGCTTACGAGCTAGAACAATCTCTCAGGCAGAATTACTTAAACAAAGGCCCTTCCTGCGGAGATTACTGTTATTGAAGACGACTCGCCGTTTTCCGATCGAAGCAGGAAACCTAACCTCGAATCGACAATGTTTAAGGGTATGTAACGGGTATGGCAATGCAATGTGACGATTTTAAAAAAGCTATCGTGGTATACTCGACAATTTTATTCAAAAAAATTGTTATAAATATAACGCAATTTAATAATTATTCAATTATTTTTTTAAAATAACCGATAATTATGTCAACATACCATTTTTATATCTCATAAAAACTCTTTTAAAATCATCACATTCTATTGCCCGCGCCTACATGTATAGAATAGCTCCGCACGTATCGCCGCAGCAAAATTTTCTATGAAAAGACTGGCTTTCGAACGGATAATCCACTCACGACCGGACACGACTATCAACGAAACAAAACGAACATCCTTTCGCCAATCTGCAGGACGTATTATCGGATATTATCGGGCCATATGGAATTTGGGCCCGAAAAATAGTCCCGTGCAGGAAATTGCTAACGACTTAAACGTTGGGGCGGTACGTGAGTCCCATGGGCCCAGTTATGATGGATGGACCTTGGCTACACTGTAATTTCAACGCGTTATATGTGCACCCTAACGCGTACTTCTGCTATGATCCGCCATATGTCCTCGACTGTCCTGCTCTGTATTCTCTCATAAGCATCGACGAATTTTTACCATTGGTCGACGTAAGCGCCTCTGACGAAATTCACGCAATTTAGTCGACGATCGCTGATCTTCACTTCGATTATGTAGTTCGATCTGTATCGTCTAGGTGGTGTTCGAACTATTGTGATTTTTATTTTAAGAGGAATATCGAAGTATACTTGGAATTAAGCAGTAGGAATAGTTTTCAGTTGTTGGTGAAAATTCAGTGTACATTCGTTGTTACATTCTTATGTCATGTTTTCATGTTGCAATCGAAGTTTCACATGGAGGATTTTTCTACAAAGTGGTTACACGTGATGTCTATTACTTGAAAGATTAACTATCGTTAATTATAATATTGGTAAAAATAAACGTCGGAAGAGATAGGAAGGTTAAAATTGATCTAACCTCGTTGCATAACCTCACAATCACTATCTTGTAAACTGAATGGAAAACCTATAAATTAAACCTCGATTCGAAATCTGCGAATTTGTTTCAAAATTATTTGTACACTCCGCCCTACATTCACATTTATGTTTTCTCATTTCAACCTAACCTACATTTTTCTACCTTCTCCGTTTCTTGCGTAAAAATAGTAACGGGTAAAAATTACGAAAACAAAAATATCGCTTGTAAGTTGTCGGATAGTACAATAAAATGTAACGGCTTGGAAAAATTGTAACGATGCTGTTCAATAAGCTAGTATTAATTAGACGAAACGGCTTACACGCGTAACGCGGGTCGGCGGCGGCAACTAATGAAATTTGTTTGTCAATTAAATGGCGATGCCGGTGAATTTTCCCTATACTTTGCCCCGGTTGGTACACTAATTAATTTCCACGCTTGACTTCACTTTATTTACGCGCGACAGGCCTCAAAATTGCAGCCACGGCCGGCTGGTATATTCACGCGGGAGGAGAGCAAGGTAGGAGTGCGCAGACCGCAGCGTGAAGCAAAAATAGCTCAGCCGCGAATTGGGACCGGGGCGCGCGCGTTTCGCTGACCAAAACACCGCGCGCGCCCGTACACACACTGTAAATTGATCCCAGACTGAATTGATAGCTGGGTATATTCGCGGGGCTTTCTTTATTTGAAAACGAGAGAAACGAACGCGGCCGAGAGGGGAAAAAAATACCTTCTGTTGTGTTGCCGATCTCCTGGTTTACGCTGCTCCGCGCTGTTTCCACGTTCCCATGAATATGCATGTAAGGTTAACTCGTTATTTTTACCCGTTTTTAGATAGATGGTTGCAGTATACAACTATGATCGATCGTTTAATTGCTTCGATAGCGTGACACGTAGGCACTTTCGGAAGCTGTGCAGTGTATATTTGATACCGGCTGATTAAAAAAAAAAAAAAATTGTGATTGAGGTTAAAATTAAAGTGCTCTAATATTAGGGTTACAGTTTGAATTGTGAATGTAAACGCGGTGACAGTGATAGAGGATTTATTTTTTTTCTTCTTTTATTTTGAAGAGGTTAGGTTATGTTACTTTCGAATTTCTAATTGTAAAATTGTTCATAAAATCGTTCGATGTATTTGCTCCAGTTGGAGGTAGAAATATTCACTAAACTGTGACTTTTTTATATATATTCTTTCAAAATTTATCATCCAAAAATTCACGACAGATTAATTTTCCATTTTTTACAGTTATCGTAACAATTTTCACAAGGAATTTATGGGTCACGCTGTATATATCTATTAAATCACGAACAATACCTACAAAATATTTCCAAACATCAGAAAAATCTAATCATACTGAAAATACATACCATCTATTTTGTAACGCTCGATAGACTTTCAATCTTGACCAATCAGAACACCGAGAACAAAGCACATATTTTCCGGTATCTTCGTAGAACGATTTCGCTACGAAATCACATTTCGATACGGTGCAGATGTAGGACCCCCCACCCACCGCTCTAGAACCATGAAATTATTGTAGATAATATGTGGATAGTTAGTCCACGATTAGTCTGTCCAACGGATTATATTCCTCCCCTTTTCATTCCCGTGGTGCCCCGGGGGCAGCAACGCCGTGATAAATGACCGAATCCCTTTAGTGTTTTTTAGCCGCGGACCGCTTAGCTGATTCGTTCTCCCTCCCCTCTGTCCGCCGTCGCCCGTGCCCACGAGCCGTCCGCCTTCCCTTTAACCCCACCCCGCCGCCGGTGTCCCGGAACCTGCGCCGCGCCGGCTGGACGAAGGTCGCCGCTACAATTTCGCCGTAAATCACAGCAAATCGTTGACGTAAACGGCACGGGTAATTAGATACACTAACCTGCGATAAGGCGCGTTTCTTGCGTGTCAGCAAGCGACGTCTCTCGACCCAATAGGTTTCTCTTGATCGTCTGCAACGGTAACAACGTGGTCATATTTATTTTGAGGTTAGAATTAATTGGTATCTTTGAAATGTTCAAATGGGAATATTATTAGAGTGATTAGAAAAATTCTTTTTGTTAGATTTAAATATAACGAATTTTCTATTGCTCAAATATAGTTTAATTTGATTGTAAAATGTTTTTATCGAGCTACTGTTGTAATATGATGTGTTTTTCGTTGTATAATACGTGTTAAAAAGAACACGTGAACGTTTAGTTTCGTCTTGATAGGCTATTTAGATAATTACACACCCAATATATATTACCTATCGGAAATCTGATCGTAGAATTACTCACTATTACATAAAACCAACCACATACATACTACTTACAATTCACTTTCCCTGACACACGATGCATCCACCGTCCTATCTCCACAATTTCATCGAACGTGTCTTATCACGTTTCCCGCCGAATCTGTCATGCACGGACTCACCGTATTTCGCTTGAAAATTACACTTTAGAAAAAATGCTACAACTGAAAAAATACTGAATATTTTCGTATGAAATTCTAACGTAGCTATGGTTACGTGAAATATTAATATTTTCTTTTTCAATATTGTTATTGATAACGTTTATTGTAATTTAGTTAAAACAGTTGTATAATTAGTTTTACTAACCAATTGTAATAGAAGTTATCTAATAGAAGTTATACAAAAGGACAATGTGTTACCCACTGTCTCATTTACCACAAATTTCCAAAGTGACTCGCAACTTTACACCGTTATTTTACTCACAAACTTACTACCTAAGCCCATCAAAATTAAAAAATAGTCCATAAAGTATCATCAAGCTCACTCCCCTAACCTTCTCATCGTAACATCGTTAATCCATCGAGCGTCCACCCTAAGAAAGCATCGAAACAAGGCTCCAGATACACTCTTAACAGGCAAGTATGAGGGTTTTTGACGTGGATCGCGACGCCACGGCTAATTTCGAGGTTAGCCGTTGTTTATTGTCGAATCCTTTTAGCCGAGGGTGGAATGGAGCGTGCGTCGCCCGTAAGAAGTTCGAACGGAAAAGGAGTCGGAAAAAAAGGGGACGGAAAGATCTCGTCATTAACGCGACCGAGCCCCTAACGATGCGTCTCGTATTTAGTCCGGTAGAGATCGTTAGCGGTTTAATGCCACGCTAACTCCCTCTGGAATCGATGGTACGAGGTACGATACCGGTACACGACTTGGCGCTCTCGTCTGTTAAAGCCCTTCCCCCGCCAATATTCATATTTTCATTTGGTGTCATTAACGTGTTATGCGACGGCTGAATTTTTCGTGCAGACATAAAAAGAAAATTGCGCGAAAATGTGTATTATGGAGCTCTGGTTTATTAGTCGTAAAAGAAATGCACGGTTTCCTTTGAGTTTTTATTTAAGGGAGTATTCTATTGTACATAGTTTAGATCGTCATTTTTTAGATCTTCTTTCGGATTTTTTTACAAAAAAACTAAGACTTTTCGCATCGATGTTTTGCACACGTATTTATTCGTGTTTTAAGAATATTCGTCAGTTTCTTAAAGTGGGAACAATGAAAATTGACTGAATTGTAAGTTATTTAATAGTAAGTTAATGGGGCAAAGAATAAATTTTTGAAAGGTATGCAATCTTTTACAACAATAAAAAATTCCTCTAAAATCCCAGTCATCAAATCCAAAGCAATTTTTAACATATCATAGACAGACAGAATTTCACGATTCGAGTCGTCTTGCATTCACAATAGATGTAACCACGGAGCGGCGATTTCTACCGAGGAACGAACGAACATAACCTAACGCAACAAAATGGCAAAAGTAGCCGCGAGCCATCCGAGCAAGATCGTTAGAGACACGCCCGTGGAAAATAAAGGGTTTACCACTCGCGCGAGCCGCTTGACATTAAAATCACATTTGCCGCTTTTCCACGGAATCCCACTACGAGAGCACGTTTATTCATCGATTACGGTCGCTCGCCTCTCTCGCGTGACGTTCGCGCGCCACGCCATTAAATGTAATTTAACGGCGACATTTGCGCCATCTCATAAGTGATTTCGTTACGTCCCTGACGGATTGCGCGGACTGACGTCTAATTCAATCGTTTCCCTCGTTCACGCGGGGCCACGTAATACCAGCTGCGATTTATGTAATTCGTGGCTCGATTTTACACGCAGTCAAGCTTCTCTCTGTTAGGTTAATCGATCGGTACGAGAAGCATCAGTGCTACCGGATCGAGACTACTTTTGTCGAATAGGTTATTATACCGTGGGAGCTGACGGAATTTTCTTGTCGTTCAAACGACAGAGGACTTTATGGCCGTAAAATCTAGGTTAAGAGAGGTTATGTTGTAAGAGTAACCGTGTGGTTCGGCGGTAGTTTTTGTACTGGATAGAGTTTAAAGTGATTATAAGGTGTGAGGTTACCGAAAGGTGTGTAATTTAGGATTATAAATGTGAGCATCTGTTGCTCGGTATTCTTAGGATAAATATTGGAAGGTATCGTTTGCATGAACTTACGTGTAAATAAATTCGTGGAAGTTTGTTATAAGCGTTTGTTAAGTATAGAGTATTATTTTCGATTACGCGTCGGCTTATTAAGGCTGAAAAATCGTTCTACTTGATACAAGAGGTGTTGTATTATACATAAATTTTAACCAAGTCTATATTGTGGTTAGGTAATGAAGGAAAGAGAATCGTTAAATACACATTTAATTAGCGACAGAATTTTATTATGTAAACAGTAGAAAATTAAAAAATTCAACATGGCAGAATCACACTTAATAGAATAAAATTCTGCGCTTTATATTTAACACTGTTATCAAAAAAATTACACAATTGCAATACCACATAAAAATATATACTGTACTATTTACATATGTCAAAGGTCCAAAAACAATCGAATCGATATTTCATCTAATTCCATCGTGAACCTAACCTATAACACCATTTCACTTCCGCCAATCGTCACACCAGTCAAACCATTCACAATATTTCCATTCGACCTTACACACAAACTCCTCCTGATCCTTCCACCTTCGTCCACGCGATTAATCATCCGTCTCGACACGTAACCTCTCATGTATCCGTACTTAATTTCGCTCGAAATCCGGCGTCAGTGGTTTTCGTGTAGCGTTCCTCGCCCATCAGCGCGACGATCGCGCGAGCCCAAGTGGGAGACCGTGTGTGGGTCGTCCGTGCACTGCACAGAGGGAGGAAAACGTATCGGTTCCCTCGTTTCATCGGGCTCTCCAATAAGAGTACACCTATAATTTGTAACGTGGCTCGGGTACCGGCCTAATGGAAAAATGCGTTCCGGCCAATTTTACGCGCAGCCGTCAGGCCAGGTTGTTGGCCGGCGCATCGGGATGAGAGAGGAGCAAAATGAACGACGAAACTTCGTGCGGTAGAGAAGGGGGGGGGGGGGGGAAAAAAGAA